AAAGGGCTGCTATCTCTGGCAAATGTTTTTCTGATTAACTATAGAAAAACCCGAAACGATGCATCCTTGCTGGATAAATCATCCAAGAAAAGAAAACAGGCTAAATTCACTCAGTAATGGATTTACATGGATTATGTGACCACCATTTGGACAGCTCCATGCTAAGTAGTTTCTGTTGTGCTATATCATATTGTGAATACCTATATCCAGGGCTGTTCAACTAAGTTAATTTAAGTTTAGTGAGGGCCCAACATTGTAAAACTTGGGATCGTTATGGGCCAGCGGTCCGAGTCCCAGCATAGAAAGACCATTAATTCAATACAACCATCATATGCCAAGGGGCCCTGATGATCCCTGTCTTCTACGGCATGCTTGTAGATGACTACATATTGCCACCTAGCTGTACGCTACTATAGCCACATTTCATCAGCTAATCACCAGCACAGATCAGGTAGTCCCGTCAGCAAGGCACTTAATCGTGATGAAAGAAATGTTTGACAAGCGGATGGATATCTAAAACTTTGCAAGGGAGTACCACCTCTCCAAAGTCAAAACAAGCCGTAATAGCTTGTGCCAATGTTGAATTTCAGAAATATCCCGAGGAGAAGGCAGAAGTCAGGTTTTTTAGTCATACTTTTAATAAATGTCAAACATTGCGATTTTCAGCCGTGTCAAAGTAAAGATGAAAAGACAGAGGGGGGGGGGGGGGAGGAAGGAAAAGAGAAAGACCAGAATTATATGTTCCTGGAGTTTTATTGAAAACAATAACATCTCTCCCCTCCTTCACTATGAGCACCGAGTAGACACTCGACTATTCTCATCAAGGTTTCATTTCTTTATTATTCTGTATCACAGCATTAGGTAGTGTTTCAGGGTTTGAGGTTTGAACAACAGATCAACATCATGGCACACGGGTAGTTACCTGCAAGTGCCCGTTCTTCATCTAACTCAAGTGTGAGTATGAAGACGTTCAGTTCAGCACAGTGCACGTAGCACCGGCGAGGATCCTGAAATACTTTGGGTAGATTTTAAAACTCAAGCGCCGTTAGGCTACTGTTTTCGATTTCCAACTGCCAAGGGATTTTTTACGTGCGCAACAATGCACACGGGCGTCTGATCTCACTACCAGTAATACCACGGGGAATTACTAGAAGTCCAAGTCCACGTGAAAAAATCCGAGCCCTTACCGGGGATTGAACCAGGAACCTCTAGCACTCGAGGCGGACACCATGCCTCGAGACCACGCAGTCAGTTATGTTTAATAACCCACGTCAATGAATAATTTACCAATAAGAATATGATTATTTTCTTAACAGGAACGGATTAATCATTTTCTCTTTATCTCTTACGGAAAAATTCATTTGGCATACGTCCTGTTTGTCTAGGTGCATGCATCTGCAATGGATTTAGGACTTATACCGGGGTACCACTGTATACACTCGGCATACATTTTACAGTCAGTGACAACAGCGAAGGATCATTATCTATGTCTCACATTTGGTATTGGGAAATAAACACCCAGACATCTTAACAAATATGTTGTCAGGATTTGAATGCCAGCTAGCAAAACTTGACTGTGTCCTAATGGAGTCAGTCGGTCATAAACAGGCCATTCAACAAGCGCCCAAGCTGATGAAAGGCAATAAAGCTGCGTGGCAAGAAACTGAAGGTCGCTGCAACGATCTACTCGTACATAAATTATGTAAATTATTACCTGCGCGTCGAACTGATATTTCAGCGTGGTGTGCCAATAGCTTGTTGTGTGAGCTTAATCATTCAAATTGAAATTATGTATTAGAAACCACATAACGGAACTTCTTTCAAAGCCAGTTTATTCATAGAAACTTGTGTAATAAAAGAGTCCATATTTGTTAACAGCACGGGCAGGATATATGGCATATTGAAGAGATTTAAAAAAGAGAGATATATTTCTTGCATAGCGGCATATTTAAAAAATTCAGCTTATTTGACTAATATTGGAAACACATTCACGTGCGAGTGTGTGCGCCCGCTTGCGCCAGTTAGAATTTGTGGGATTGTAGTAGTTTGTGCCTTTCTAAAGTGAGCAACTTTTGTTTGTATCTGTTTTTGCTAGTGCACAAATATCCGTACACAATTGCCTCGCAGAAGTTAGTCGTTGCTGGTGATGTGATTGTTTAAAGTGACCGACTGTGTACATAATTCATAAAGACTATGGTAAATAGGCGTTTCGATTCGGACTAGTATGGGCGTCGCAGGTCGACCCAACCTCAAATGGGTACCAGGATGTATGTCCTGGGAAAAAAAAAGACGGCCGGCGTAACGCTGGCCACATTACCCACCTAGCGCCGATTGGTCTGTAAAATATAAGAAAATATAGGGTGCTGTTCCCATATGCCCAATGCGCCTAAGGCGTAAAAAGGGATCTTTACTTTTCTTATAGTGAAAAGAGATGATACTTCCCCGCTAAAAGTCTTGAGTTCTAGAATGGTTCCTAAAGTTTTGGTCTCTGCGTGTACTTTAGTTGATTAGCTGAAAGGCTATATTTTGTGTGACAAATTCGTAGACTGTGCAGTTTCGATTAGTTGGAGTGAAAAAATAAACCGTTCCTGCACTTCGAGGCGGGTTAGGCATATGTCGTTAGTCCAGTAGCTTTCTGTTTATATATATATATATATATATATATATATATATATATATATATATATATATATTAGGGCTGTACCGAATATTCGCTTCGTATTCGCCTCGGGGCCGAATAGTGGACCTATTGACTATTCGGTATTCGGCCGAATAGTTGCGGTCGGGCCGAATACGAATAGTAATTACCTTACACCCGCTTTTGCATACACATCCTTAATACTGACAACATGGAACGATTGGTTTTGTTGAAAGCTAATGCAGCTTTCATGCATTAACTAAGCTGTCAATAACAATTTCCAAGTATAGTTACCTGTTATAATACTTAGGATTCTTTCATTCATACTTATTAGTTACCACAGACTGACTGAAGGATGTAAAACATAACATGTTTCTAAATGTTTAATACTCTGTACGAATACTAACTAGACATGGAAAGAATATAAACTTTGGCCACATCCAAGTCGATAATATGAAAATTAAACGAACGGAACCATATAAGTACTTGGGTGCAAACTTCAAATGCTCCGACATGGTGTGAGAAGAAATACAATCTAGAATACAATCTAGAAATAAAGTATACTATGCCCTTCAACATCTGTTAAAGTTAAAGAGTCTGTCTCGCAACACCAAGATCAAAATATATAAAACGTTAACAAGACCAGTCGATTTATATGGCTCTGAAACTTGAAGCAGAAATAAAAGAGATGAGGCCTTATTACAGGTTTACGAAAACAGTCTTACGACAAATCTTTGGACCCATCAAAGATGCTAGCAGCGGGGAGGGGGGAATGGAGAGTAAGAAGCAACAACGTAATACATAATCTGTATAAATCACCATTGATCACTGGCATCATGAGAGCTAACAGACTAAAATGGTTGGGGCATATTGAAAGAATGTCAGATGACAGAGAAGTAAAAAACTGTATACACCTGAGAGAGGAATGGCGTAGACCACGAGGCAGACAAAAAAGAAGTTCGAGAGATAATGTCCAGCCAGACCTGCAAACAACTGGTGTCACAATGGGCCAGTCAGAGAGATGAATGGAGACGAGTGATATCTGCAGAAGTAAACCTCAAGGGCTCAGAATGCTAAAGAAGAAGATGACTATTCTCTACTACTTTATGTGAAGTAAAAGTTCAGCGTACATTTGACAATATATTTTTGGCTATCCTCCGAATAACGGGCACAAAATATAGCGGCCAAAAACAGAACCTCAGCCACGTGTCAATTGTGCACTTCCGGCGACCTAATTTGTGATTTTCCGATGACTACTGCCGCCGCGGCGTGGATTGGGGCTGAACTAGGACTCACGAGCAAAGCTGCAGGATATGCGGAAGCTGCTGCTCGTGAGTCCCAGCCATCAAGTTTAGCTCCAATCCATGCCGCGTGAGTGGCGTGCGGGATACCCTCGGGGGTGGCGGTAGTCGCCGGAAAACCGCAAATTAAGTCGCCGGAAGTGCACGATTGACACCTGACTGAGGCTCTCTTAGGGTGTTTTTGCGGCCGCCATCTTTTTGCCCGTTATTCAGAGGATAGCCATATATTTTATACACTATACACTATTCGTAATCGGCCGTATAGTTTATCCCATTATTCGTATTCGGCCGAATGGTGAAAATCACTATTCGGTACATCCCTTATATATATATATATATATATATATATATATATATATATATATATATATATATATATATATATATATATATATATATATATATATATACATATATATACATATACATATATATATATATATATATATATATATATATATATATATATATATATATATATATATATATATATATATATATATACATGTATATAAATGGTTTTTTTCTGCGTCTATGGTTTTGAAGTTGTGAAGGCTGTTCGTAATTCCGAGGTGTCGTGTTTGATTTCAGCTGCGGTCGATTGAGCAACAGCCCGCCTTGCGTTGGTTTTGACGGTGGTATCGTGATTCGACCTTTCAGAGACAATAGAAAACTACTGAAAGATAACATGTCATGGTAAAATCATGAACAGCCTCCCCCCCACCCCAAATGGGGTTGGCTCTGTAAAAGATACGAAAATATACCAAACTAATGATGATAATCAGAAGAAGGATAATGACGATGATTATTATGATGACAATAATGATGATAATGATGACAAAGATAGTGGCCATGATGATGATTACGATGGTGATGAAGATGATGATAATGATTGATCGTGATGTCATAATGATGTTGAGGTAGTGATTTTGGGAGTAGCCGTGGTAGTGGCGACGATGATTATAGTAACGATGATGACGATAATGAGCATATAGTGATAACGTTTACATTTTAAAAACAAAAGTAACTATGGAATACCTCTTTCTGCATTGCCCCTCTAGGATCAAACAGTCAACCATTGGTTGTGCCAGATGAGAATGCTTCCGCTTGCTTGCTACGGTCACAATGTATTCAATAGATCTCTCCACTATGACATTTTCCCAGGACGGAGCCATACCCTCAATGACTATCGTTGTCCAGTATCTACACCAGCCAGTGACACTAGAGGGCCTGATGACATCAAGCGATCAAAGACATTACACGTCATTAACCTGCAGGTAAACTATTAATACGTGATAGAACCCTTGTCCACCATTGGCGCTACAAATACATGGTGTCGGACTCATACGTTTGTTTATAGTTTAATCGCTACTTAATGGGTGATGTAAACTTTACGTTTTACCACCTTTGCTAGGGAGCTGTGTGGTTTCAAGGCATGGTATTCGCCTGGAGTGCTAGACGTTCCAGGTTTAACTCACAGTAAGAGCTGGGATTTTTTTCGTGTGGATATGACTTCTAATAATTCTCCCTGGTCTCGGGTAGTGAGATCGGACGCCCGTGTGCATTGCTGCGGACGTAAAAATTCCCTTGGCAGTTGGAAATCGAAAAGAGTAGCCTAACGGCGCGGCCCGGGCAAAATTTTGAGTATAAAAATCATCCCAAAGTATTTCATGATCCTCGCCGGTGCTACAGAGCCTGTGCACTGTGCAGAGCTTCTTCGGATTCAGACTTGAGTTGGAAGAAGAACGGAGCACTTATGTGTTACTACCCGTGTGCCATGATGTTAATCCGTTGTTCAAATTTCAAACCACTTTTGCTACCCTTGATAATTCATTGTACCCATTGAAGGCTGACAGCCTTGCTCAGTTGCTACCGGAAGTCTACTACGACGCATAAGCAAACTAGTTCACTCGTTCCCACGTCGACTCGTCGTCTTCATTAGGAGCCGACAGGTTCGAGTCCCGGTATGGTAAATTTAGCTTGCAATTTTTATGGTCTGTTCTACTTCTTTCTGTGCGTGCCAGTTAATAACAGCAATTTATTTACAATATTGTATAGGCGCATTTTTACAAGAGCGTGGTCAGAATATCAACAAAAGGTAAAAAACGCCAATGACAAGGAAATTAGCTGCTAAGGGAGTTGGTTACCCACGCCAGGAGACAAATTACATTCTTTAGATAGACCATGAAAAGACTTATACTGGAGTGGTCTGTTGCCAGAGAACTTGAGGTGCCTTATGCGATTGATTGCATGTACAACTATTGATATTTTGTAACTGCTGTCCATCGAAGATGAACTGTATTTCTAGTGTCATATTGTTTGCGGTGACTGCTACCTAATGCATTAAATGCGCGTGTATGCTGTTTTATTTGCTTAAACTGCAGTCTGTGCCTTTGTCTACTCTTAGCAAGGGAAAATGATGGACGTTTTGAGTAGTTTTCATTGGCACAAGAGCGGAACACCTATGGGAGTTACCCGTTTGTTATGACGCTAGAATTACAATCACGTGAATAATGTAATTGACGAACAGAGGAAACTGGAGTACGAAGAAAAGCTGGATAGGAAAATATGCAGTAAAAAACCAAGATTGAACACGTTGCAGAACAGTGTGGCATGATGCCATGGATGAACATCTATACCAAAAGTGATTGGAATTATACGTAGCAGGATGCCGCAGACATATGTTTTCAGCAACGGCATATGGCATATACTTTACAAGGAACAAGATGCTGATAGTTCTTAATAAGTGGTAATAAATCATGTGGTGATAAGACAAAGTAACACCTGAACATAGTGAGAAAAAAAATTACGAGCTCAAACATTAATAGTGATAGAAACGGTTTCAACCATTACTGCACATTCTGTCTGCGTATACAAAGAGGTAGTTTCCACCATGAGTCCATGTTGCTGTTGTATACTCTCTGTTGGACCAATATTTACCTAACGAAAAAGATACTGGGTAGTCCCAGTTCCACCCCCTCCCCCACCCAATTGCTTCTAGAAAGCTGTATGGTGTCCAGTTATGAGTCATGAAGATATCAAGCATGGGAAGGGGATGTAACGTTGACCCACCTTTCGACGCAGACATTTGTTTAACCTTCATGAACAAATAATAAATCTAAACATATATCTATGGTACTAGTTGTTAGGCTCAAGTTTATTTAAAAAAATGTTAAGATCTTTTAGTGTCTTGTATGAACTAATACACACACGCCCGTACGGTGGCTTAACATATTAAATTAAGTTGTACATTACCATACATAACCACGTACAGGCCACATTATTTACCCAGTCAATGAGACTCACTAGATCTCGCCCTTCTAAAACCTGCAAACGGTTTTTAAAAAAATGTATAGATTGAAAGCTTTATGTTAAACATGGGTTATACATAGCGAACATTTTGCGGGGACTTGTTACTCAAAGGGGTCAAATTAGTGCAGCAAGTAGGCCATTTGCAGTGTTTGTTTACATGAGCGAGTTGTCAAACGAAAAGGCAACCCAGAGGGAAACACAGCTCTAAAAATTCCTATATGAGAATTTTTGAAAAATGTGAGCAATGATAAACAATGTGTATGTACTGCCACGTGCGTTTTACATGTCTGTCATTCATATTTTCAAGTACCCAACAATCGGAAATGAGAGACATCGGTCTGGAAGACTGCGACGTGGCAGAAATGTAACTAAATATACATCGCATTCAGCAGTCGCCGGGTTACATTACCAAGTGACGAACAAGCAAGCAAACACGTAAGTATAAACTAGTTGGCCATATGTCAATGTTCAAAAGCCGAATGTAAGATTAGCCTGTGTTCCCAATTTTTGACCCTTTGAAAATAAAGTTCGCTCGTTCGTTCACTTGTTCCCACACTTACAGGCTCCAGCTCTGATGTGGTCCCTAAAATCAGTGTGTAAGTTATCTAGTTGGTCCTAAAATTCATATTTCACTAGCTGGATAAGTACAGCTGTCAGTTTATTTCATGTGAGTGCAAACAAAAGATGAACTTGATTCCTGTGGGTGCAATTAAGTCATGTGTGGGGAACCTCCGGCCCGCTGACTCTTCTAGGCCATTGGATTCAGTTTGTCTGGCTCAACTAATGCATTCATTCAGTGTTCTACTGTGCCATTACATGTCATAGAAGGTTCAGAGTCCATGCGTCCATTCCTTTCTATCCTATGAAATCGCCCCAGTCTCATAGATGGAATCTAGTCCAGCACATTGGCCTCTCTCTTTGACGTTCTCGTTTTAAACTCCCTCAGTTTACCATCCAACACAGGCCCATCTCGTTAACATCCCATTTAAGAAAGATCCTAGAAACTCTCATTAACAAAAGGATTACCTTCCAGACTTAGAAAAATAACTTATTCAGTAAAACACAGTCTGGATTTAGAGCCAATAGGCCTACAATGGACCATCCCCCCCCCCCCCCAAAAAAAAAAAAAAAAAAAAAAATTAGAGGACCAAGTGAAAAAAGGATTCAACATAGGAAATAAAACTATATTTTTAGACTTAGCTCAACCTTTTGACCAGAGTTGGCAACAAGCCGTCCTGTATTAAGTCAGAGACATAAGACTGGGATTAGGTGGACGAGTATTTAGGTACATTAGGAGCTTCTGGAGGACAGGACATTCTCAATGACTGTTAACAGTGACAGATCAAATATGTTTATACAAGAGAACGGATTCCCTCAAGGATCGGTGTTGTCACCAACAATATTCTCAATGCTGGTTAATGATCTTGACGAGGTAATTAAGGACCAGGAAGTAAGTCTGACACAATTTGCAGATGATTGTTCTATATTTCCATCTGATAAGTTAGTGACGAGGGCAAGAAACAGATTACAAAAAAGAAGTTAATAATGTTACAAATTGGATGATTAAATGGGGTTTCAAAATAAATACCAGCAAAACAGAAAGCTTGGTATTTAACTATAAAAGAAAATGTTACAATGATAGTGAGACTGTTACAATTAGAATCAGCGAAAGACCAATCCAAACAGTAACAAGCACACAGTTTTTAGGAATGATTCTGGGCGAACAGCTGTATTGGGGCAAACATATTGATACAATGGATAATTAAAGGCAATGGATGGGGAGCTCATCAAGCCACTCTCTCATAATGTGTATAAAGCTTTCCTGAGAGGAAACTAGAATATGGAAGTATTGTCTATGACTCAGCAACGGATTGCACAAAAAGTCAACTAGATAGTACACAGTGCCAAGCACTGGCCTCCATTATGGGTTCGGGTAAAGGCACATCAAGAGAAGCAATGGAAGTAGCTGGCTTCCGACCACACACAATCATGATCATCCGGTATGTGACGCTTTTAACATCAATACAAAGAAGTTCATGGGTGTGCCAACAAGAAACGTTCTTATGCCATCAGCAGGGGATGTTGCAGTAGAAATGAATACCAATGAGGAACTAGCGAGAACATTTGAATTAAGTAGGAGAGTTAAACCTCAGATACCACAATGGGAATTGAAACCACCATGTGTAATCATAAGCCTGATAAAACAGATTTCACAAAACACTGATCTACTACAAGTAAAGACCATAGCAGTGGCGCACATTAGAAACATTGAAACTGATAACCTGATAATATCCACAAATGAGAAAGGGGACCAGGGGCAAATGTTTATATTCCTTACTGGAAAATACAAAAAGCTTATAAAACCACAGATCATACGTCAGTTTTTACAGCCGAACTAATCAGTATAATGAAAGACTTAGAGATAGCAGCAGAAAATTCCTCCCTTTAAACTGACAATAATGATAGATTCTCTTTCATCGGGACAATCTCTAGGAAACTATACATAGGGAAGTAGATCAGACATTAAAGAGGATATATTTACACTAACCACACAACCTAGGAACAACGAATGCCAAATCACTATAGCATGGGCTAGAGCGCATAACCGCATAGCAGGTAATGAAAATGCGGATATTTTTTGCAAAACGAGGTACCAGCAGGAATAATATAAAAGAAACAGGCTTAGGAAAATCCGAAGGGAAGAGTCATATCAAACGGTATATTACAGGAATGCTACAGACAGAAGGGCGTGTGAATATTTGAGAGATCCTACCCTGACATTACAAGTCACAGAGAGCCTGAAAATTCCAGCAAATAACAAATTATGGAGATTAAAACTTGGATATTGGAAAGCCAAATTTACAGCACCCTCGTGCTTTGACTGCTTTCAGGAAAACACAATAGACCACTTCCTGCTTACATGCATCCTATATAAATGTGAAAGAAAAACCACTGAACGACTTTT